ATCTTGACGTAGACATGTGGGGGCGTGTTTAAATGACCCGTTTTAGGAGGGCGTGGACAAGTCTTAACTTTTATAAAGAATATCTCTTTGGATTTGAGACTTTAGTCTTTGCAACTTTACAGATCTTCTTTATGCACCAAGAGCTTGTAACACTCCAAAGAGAAAGGAAAAATTGAAATCGCATCATATGACCCCTTTAATATAACGACATCAACAAAAAAACAATAAGCCCACGAAGCTGTTGTCGTTCCATCCTGACAGATGACAGCTGTGACAGCTAGTGGAATCCCGGAAAATAAACCGTGGAACTTTGACCAATGAGAGAACAGTTTACTCGCGCGTGACTTGTATTAACAAATTTGGTCCGTTTAGAAACATTGCCGTGTGAAAGCGAATCGCACCAAGAATAAAAAGCATCATTGTAATAATTTTAATCCCTGTTTCGGAACAAAGCAATCGATCTACAGGTGTGAAAGCACCCTAAGAATGTATTTGCATGGTCTTGGTCTTGTTATGGACTTGACTTCATGATTTGAATTCAACCCACTTCTGGGCTCTGACTTGAATGAGCTGGTCTCGATTATGACACTGTTATTCAGTTATGATTATTACTGTATTACTGTACATGTTACTGACCTCTTGTTAATAACATAATTATTTGGAAGTTGTCATGAATATACACTTCTGCATTCAGATTGAGAGGAAATGAAAACATGTGAGGTTGTGTGTTACTAGCTTTGCAAGAGTCCACCAAAGTTCACTGGAGTTTCTAGAGTTTCATACTGTCATTAGGACTGTGGTGCTAGTATGCTGCTAAATGAATAGTTCATCCAAAAATGCACATACCTTTGTTATTTACTCACTATTTATGTTATCTACTCACTATTTACTCACTCCTCATCATCATATTTACTATACTACTTTATTATCGTTGTTCCAAACCTGTATGACTGACTTTCTTCTGTTGAACACAACAGGAGCCATTAGAATAATGCATTGGTTATTTTTTGTCTGTTAACTGTTTACTCATGAGTTCGATTACTTTTTTTTTTCAGGCCACACGGTCAGAAACATCCAGGCTTTCTCTGTGCTTCAGAATGCCTTCTTGAAGGCCAAGAGCGGTCGATTAGCACGTATGATCCTTGAAGCCATTGCCAACATCTACGCCGCAGACTATGCCAACTATTTCATCTTAGAGGCGCAGCATGCGCTATCGCAGTTTGCAGACAGGGTAGCAAAACTACCGGAGGTGCAGTCCAAGTACTTCGAGGTACTGGAGTTTGTCGTCTTCGGACTTAATTACGTACCATGCAAAGAGCTTTTTAGCGTTAGCGTGCTATTAAAGTCGAGCACCTCTTACGGATGCAGCATCACAGCCACCCGCACTCTTCTCAAACTCGGGCGCCACCACCCTGTCTTCAGTGATGTCTTCCGTGAAGTTGGACTGCTGGAAGTGCTAGTTAACCTGCTCCACAAATATGCAGCGCTGCTGAAAGACCCAATGCAAGCCCATGGCGAGCAGGGTAATCATTTGTGAACTAAAATGAAATAATATATATCTGTAAGGGTTATTTAAAGGGATAGTTCACCCAAAAATGAAAATTTGATGTTTATCTGCTTACCCCCAGGGCATCCAAGATGTAGGTGACTTTGTTTCTTCAGTAGAACACAAACGAAGATTTTTAACTCAAACCGTTGTAGTCTGTCAGTCATATAATGGAAGTGAATGGGAATCATGGCTTTGAAAATCAAAAAACATACACAAACAAAACCAAAATAAACCCTGCGGCTTGTGACGATACATTGATTTTTAAAGACACGAAACGATCGGTCTGTGCAAGAAACTGAACAGTATTTATATAGTTTTTTACCTCTGATGCACTGCAATGTCTGAACTGTCCTGAGCGGGTCCTCGACACAGCCGGCCCACTTCCAGTATAAGACTGACAGACTGCAACGGTTTGAGTTAAAAATCTTCATTTGTGTTCTACTGAAGAAACAAAGTCACCTACATCTTGGATGCCCTGGGGGTAAGCAGATAAACATCAAATTTTCATTTTTGGGTGAACTATCCCTTTAAGTATTATTTGTATACTACTACAGTGTTTATTAATTTAATTTAATTTAGTTTATTTTTTTATACAATTTTTTTATACTTTCAGTTTTTTCATATCTTAGTTTCATGTTTTAGTCATTTTGTCATATGCTTTTGTCTTTTTTTATTAGTTTTTTTTTTTTAATAATTCAGTTTATTTTAATTAACAAAATCACTTAAAAAAAAAACAATAACAACGCTGATACTAGTTATAATTTCAATGACTGCTCCCCCCCCCTCACTGTGGTCAGGTGATGCCAAGAACAATGTGGCTGAAGAGCAAAAACAGCTTGCCTGGCTTGTCATGGAGACACTCACAGTCCTCTTGCAAGGCTCGAACACCAATGCAGGTAAATGTGTGCATGGCCTTTCAGACTTTGTAATTGAAAGGTTTGGAGAGGAGAATGGATCGCAAGCTAGGACACAAACTCTGATCACCCGAAGCGCTATCACACCACACGTCAGAACGCTGCCCACAAGTCTATGGCACCAACTTTTGCTGGGTTTTGAAAGAGGAAATGGCAAGCGGAAGGCTTGGAATTAGACTGACACAGTAGTTTTGGTCTCACTGTCTCTTCCTCTTTACCTACCTTTATTCATAATCAGGGCCTCACGGAATCTGTCATGCAGAAGCTCTGCAGATTTACACAGAATTGTTAAGCCTATGATTTACAGAGTTGTACACATCCCCCACGCCTTGTGTATTCATTTACTGGATGTTTTTGTTATTACTTTAGTAATGTGTAACAGGAAGTTCATCTCTGACAGAATTTTTGTAATTTAAAGAAAATCAGAAGTACTCTAAAAACAATCACAATTTTAACATTTCCATTTTAAATGGGCTGTTTTGCCAGGACATCGAGGGAATTGTCCCTTTTTCCTTTAAAATATCATTAGGCTTTAGTTACATCATAGCTGTAAATCATCATTTGCTACTTCTCAGTTGCTTGTGGTATTAGAGGGCGGGACATTCTCATTCTTGAGAGCATTTGATTAGTCAAAAATTTGTGTGGTGCAGACTGTAGAATGAATCATCAATATTTGTAACATTTTGTCGGAAGAGAACGACTGCATTTTAAATCTGTAAGATCTGCTAAAGGTTAATTTCATTAAAGTTTCAAAGCTAATATGCATAGACACAATGCCACCAAAGTCAATTTTTGATTTCATATGGTCTTGAACAGAAATATGAGATTGACATTGCTTGTTTTGAAACTTTCCAGTACATCCCTTAGGCTTTCATTATAATTGCATTATTGTACTCCCAATTTTCCTTTTTTTTTAAGCACTCAGGGACGAGTCAAAATTCATTTTCATGCTCTCAGGCCCTGCAGTAGTCTCACTGTCTGTGCTGAGTCAGGTCTCTTAACTTCAGCTCTGTAATCATTTCTCTTCTCTATCATGGCTGCTGATAGTCTGAGAATGCCCTATCTCACAGATGCACTCATGCTTTATTTACTGTTAGCTAACCAGATTGGCTTTACTGCAGAAAATGTGGCATTGCCGCTGAGGTGATCAGTCATTTCTAAATCTCACTATGGTCTTGTTGTGTCTAATATTTACATAAACAAAACATTAAAGATCTTGCTAAGCTATGAAGTTGAAACTAAAATCCTAAATTGCTTGCCTCCAAGTTTATATGACGAAGTCTGATGAATTTTTAACGAGAAAATCTGAATCTCTCAGGATTGTTCCGTGAGTTTGGCGGAGCCCGGTGTGTGCACAACATTGTGAAGTACCGTCAGTGTCGTGAGCACGCTCTGATGATCATTCAACAGCTGGTGCTGTCGCCATCTGGAGATGATGACATGGGTACTCTGCTCGGCCTTATGCACTCTGCACCATCAACAGAACTACAGCTCAAAACTGACATTCTGCGGGTGAGGCGCATTCATAACTGTGTGAAGAAATAAGTGTGCACATCCAGCTCAGGTTTTTTTACAGGTGCAGGTGATGATGGAGTAAATGTGGAAAACAGTAAATCTCCACCCATTGAAATGAATGCTTCATAATTTCGTTAAAGACCTACTGATCAAAATGTTGCAGTTGTTAAATAAAGATTTTGGTGCACTGATATATGATATTATTCAATAATATATCATATTATATATGGAGCATATAATATTTAAGCTTGCGGATATTTGCTGTTTCCCTATGTTCATAAATCTAGCATGTGGTCTTAATTCAAATTACTTTTTTTTTTGTTTAACCACCATATTTGCATAAAATACAGTACTGTTCAAAAGTTTGGGGTCTGTAAGATTTTTTTTCAATGTTTTCTTTTTAAAAAGAGTCTCTTATCCTCACCTAGGCTGCATTTATTTGATCAAAAATACAGTAAACGCAGTAATATTGTGCAATTTTAAGTTTGAAACAACTGTTCCTGTTTTAGCATATTTTAAAATGTAATTTATTCTTATGACAAAAGCTGTTCTAATGACAAGGTAGATTTTTTTTTAGCAGCCATTACTCCAGTTTTTTTAGAAATCATTCTAATATGCTGATTTGGTGCAAAATCTTGCTGAACCCAAACATTCGAGTTGTAATGTAGGTGTGGAGCATCCTCGGTGCACAATTAACTTCTATCCTTATGATTTAAATTTGAATTCACCTAACATTCTTTGTTGTTTCTCATTAGGCTTTGCTAGCGGTGCTGCGCGAGAGCCACCGCACACGCACCGTCTTCCGCAAGGTGGGCGGCTTTGTGTGTATATATATATATATATGTGTGTGTGTGTGTTTTTTTTGCGAATTTAAATATATAAAATAAACTATAATAAAATAGAACGATCTCATTATAATGTTAAATAAATAAAGATTTAATGGACAAAATGAATCACATTTATACATAAATGGTATTGTTGTTAGATAATAGTTTATCAAATATTCCTGGAAAGTGCCTAATATTGCAATTAAAGTGAAGTAAAAATTCTCTTATGCTAACAGTAATAGCTGTTAATTATTTCTTGACTTAATAGTGTAATACTAAGAGAGCAGTAGAGTTTATGGGACCAGCCTGACTGTACATTCGTCTTTTTCCACATCCAGACAGCATGACTTTGTCCATGGAGGGTTTTGGGCCGGATAGCGTGTTCACAATTAATGAGGACAACAGCCAGTACCGGATCAGTCGAAGTCTGGTGCGATCGGCTGAGGGCAGCACTGTGCCCCTCACCCGAGTCAAGTGCCTGGTCTCCATGACGACGCCCCATGACATCCGTCTCCATGGATCCTCCGTCACGCCCGCCTTCGTGGAGTTTGACACGTCATTAGAGGGATTCGGGTAAGACAGACAGCGCTAGTCTAGCCTATACCTTTTGAAGATCAAGATTAGTTTGCACAGTCACTGTTTGTAAGCAGACATCTGTTTAGGCATCAGAGATTTATTGGCTTCAGTTTAGAATGTGTTTACCAGATATATGCGTCAATCAAAAATGTATTTGGTGTTGTGCTTTTAAAAGCCTGACCCAGTTTAAAGCTCACAGAAACACAGGCTTGAAATGCGCTTACATCTCCAAATGTATTGCAGTTCAAACCGCAACAACGAATCCACACTGAGTCTCCATCTGTTTCTGTTTAACATAATCCCATCAGGGTACGTGCTAAACTGAAAATAACAGATCTTTAATATTTCATCTTTTTCATTAATTATGAAAGCACAGTGATCATCATTTGTCTTGTTTCCAAATTATTAGCTGCTTAAATGGGAGATTTATGTCTATGAAATGGGTCAACGGTTCAGTTTTTGCGCCCAGCACACATAACAATGCTTCAAGTAATATTAGTTGTGCACAGATTGAATTTTGTTAGTCTCCCAGTGGCCTTTCTATTGCTTGAACAATTATGCAGCAGTTCTACAGACGTAAATGCCACGAATTCCCAGTAAACCTGCATCAACTACACAGACGATCCAAATGATGTATCTTTTATATGTCTTAGCCAGAATCCTCCTCTGTCTTTGAATACTTCCTCCTACATCTGAATAGAACATGCAGCTTAGAATAATTGAAGATGTAAAAATCATTTGTACTGGCCCACATTTCATCTTGCGAATGCTGACAAAACGCACACACATACAGCGCACTCCCCATCTGCCTTCATGAAAAATTCATGTAAACACGTTCTGTATTGGGGCGTGCAGACCAGCCTAATGGTGCTTCCTCAGCTGGGCTTAAAGCTTTTTGGGTTATAAGGGAGCACACAGGGAGGAGGTGGACATTAACCCCCACACACATATACATAGACTTCTATTGCTTTTATCTTTAGATTTTTTTTTAATAATTATTAATATACAATAATATATAATTATATATATGCTAATTATATTTAAAAAATCTAATAATATATTTATATTAATTAAATAATGAATATTATAAAAATAGTTGTTATATATTTTGATTATTTTGTTTAACTTTTTTTAAGTACTGAATTATTTTTCCAAAAAAGGACTTCTCCAAATGTTCTCCAAAGGGAGGTTTTGTCTGATGTAGCTCACTTTTGTGAGCAGATTTGTCCCCAAATTGAACCCTTCTTCACAGACTTCCTTGACTGATTGGAGGTGTTGATGTTTAACTGTTTTTGGGTGGATGCTTGTATTGTTAGTGTGATGTGGGATTTTTTTTAATTGCCACAGATTTTTTAATATTAAAATGACATATGAGGCTTCCTTTGTCAGGGTTAATTAGCCTCCATAGAGACGCGTTTAGCTGTTTTGAGTGACACTGGAATGGTTTTCTGTTTATTTGATGAATGGCAGAATGTTTAATGAAGTATGGATTGACAGAAATCTTGCATTGGGTTTCACCCATTCTCATTATTTGCTTCTCTGACATTGAGTAATGTCTGGTGTTTGAATAAGTTCCATCAGTGGACATTTGTAATGTTTTATACACAATGTAATTCAGTCCTGTTATGGTGAGCACACTCTGTCAGTGTTGCATAAGGCGTGACACCCACAAATAAACATCCACATCTCCTCTTTAAGCCGCCAGTGTGAAATATTCCCACTTTTTATGACTGTTTGTTACTGAGAGACAAGAATAAAATGTGTGAAATGTCTGGCCCGCTGGGATTTCTAATAAATTGAAATTCATTTTTTATTTCCGTTTTCTCTCTCCAGATGTTTGTTTTTGCCCAGTTTGGCCCCTCACAACGCACCGTTCAGTAATGCCAACACATCTGGAGTCAGTGACGGGGCGGTGGTCAGCGGCATGGGAAACGGTATGTGATCACAAACACACTCTTCCCCAGTCCCCGCGATTTGCATAACAGCAGCCAGCAGCTTTCCACTCTGTGTAAATCTTTATTAAGATAAAGTACATTGAAGTACATGAAAGTACATTAAATTGATGAATTATGCTGCAGTTATTCATCTATAATGTACAGCAAGCAAGTCATTATCACACAATAAACCTTGTCTTGGTGATTGAGATCTCAGAGGATATAAAAAGGGATAAAAAGAGACAAAAATAGAGCTGGTATGTTGCCATGGACAATGGTGAAATATACGGTTCAAAACAGTTATGTGATTGACCAATCAGAATCAAGTGTTACAAAAAGCTATGTAATAACATAAAATATTGTTTTTATTGTTTTAACAGATTATAGTTTTTGAGTGAGTTTGAGTTTACAAACATGGGATGGTAAGGGCATGACAGAATTTCAGAAGCATCTTGGCTCATGACAGGCGAGAGGTAGAGGGAACAGGAGCACAGCACTGTGACTGAATTTTTGCAAAGACGGTGGAGTCTAGAGAAAAGAGGAAGCAAACCGAAACTTGACAGAGCTTGACAGAAATTGTTTGTGTGCCTTTGCTCCTGTTGGAGCGCCACCGGCTCACAGCAGCCCTGAGTGGGCGTACAAGTGCCTATGTAGTATTAATGAGGTGATTCAGGGCTCGCTTGCTCTCCATCTTTCTCCCTTCCTGTTTTTCTTCATTTTACTCTCTCTCTCCTTCATCTTCCCCATTTCCTCTCCCTTGTCTCTTCTCTCTCTCTCTCAAATGGATGATTTCAGTATTTATAGATAGACTCCTGCATCATATTCTCTGACCTATTTTTGTCAATGACGACATCATTTCTTGCTCTGAGAGTTTCATTCAGATCCCCTGCAGTCTTGTTTATTTGTTGCTGTCTCTCTTCCAGGGGTTTCCTGGGTTTAGGGTACAAGCCAAAGTGGATTTGTTGTATCTAAGTAGCTTAGGCTACATTTTCAAGAATGCGCACTTGATGTAATAGATCATTATGTGAAGTCCAAGGAGGTTTATTTAGTGATGATGTTCTCCAAATCACATTAAATGAGTATATAAAAAAAATTGAACTTGAAAATAAATGCTTAAAATACATACAAGACAAATATTAAGATCTGTTGAATTGTTATGCTGATAATATACACTGCTGTTCAAAAGTTTAGGGTCAGTGAGATTCTTTAGTTATTATTCATACTTTTTTTTTCAGCAAAGACGCATAAGATTGATCAAAAGTGACAGTAAAATCATTTTAATTTATAATGCATTTATATAGATAAGATTTCCATCTCAAATGCTGTTCAAAAATATTTGTACATATATAAACAATAATATGTAATATATATATATATATATAATACCTGATTAATACCTTAAAATGCTGATTAATATTTAAAAATATATATTAATCAGCACAACCATTTTCAACATTGATAATAAGAAGAAATGTTTCTTGAGCAGCAAATCAGCATATTAGAATGATTTGTGAAGGATCATGTGACACTGAAGACTAGAGGTCGACTGATAGTAGATTTTACCGATAACGATAGCTAGGTTAGACCACACTGGCCGATAACCGATTAATCAACTGATAGTTTTTAAAATGGATACTGAATGAAAACTAAATAGTGCTGAACTAGAACAAAAAAAAGTACTGAACCATGCTTTTTAAATAGAATAAGAATATTAATTATAGATTGATTGATAGAAAACAGGCAAAGGTTCACTACAGGAATGAACAAAGTGGCGTCGATGAGTTTGAAGTTCGGAGCAAAACGGAAAGAGAAAACGCGATCTGTACTGTAGCTCTCTATATGAAGCTTACATATACAGATTTTATTACAGCCACAGAAAGACAGACATTTTGCTGAAAAATGCACAATACACTGTCTTCCAGCCTTGTGTGAAGTTATTTTACATACGAACAACAATCTGGGATAAATATAATGTAATTTAATGGAAAACTACATGGCTCTCTTTGGTGCGACAGGATTTCTGTCGGCTGAATGAACATATCAATGTGCTTTCTCAAGTCACTAGCTTAAATATGCAACTTCGATGGATAACAAATAAAATTACCAACTGGATATAAACTAATGCAAATAGATGGTAACAATCGTGACATCAAACATTTGGTTCGGACTTGAGTGTGTTTTGGTCACACTGTTTTAACCACTTGAGGTGGTAGTACTAATGTTCGCATCCTCTCAGCCTTGATGGCAAACATACTTCTGTCCTTTCACTACTAATGCAGCATCTAGTCAACAAATTAATTACTTTATAATAATATGAAAACATGTATTGTAGTATACTGTATACACACTGTTTCGTTGTCTGTTTTAAATCCGCATATGAAGTGTCCCGCTCTGTGCAGCGTGCAGTGTCACGTGTTAAAACAAACAGCACGTGGTGTCAGTGATTCGCCTCTAGAGGCCGCTTTCGTGCTATATAATGACAGCGGAGCTTCTCAGCTGCTCTAGCAACGGATGCAACCCGGAAAAACTATCGGTATGGATTTTTGCCGATAGTTCCAGCAATCAACTATCGGTGCCGATTAATTGGCAAAACCGATCAATCGGGCGACCTCTAAGACTGGAGTAATGGCTGCTGAAAATTCAGCTTTGTCATCGCACAAATAAATTATGTTTGAAAATATATTAAAATAGAAATATACTTCCTACAAAAACATTAAAAAAAACTTTACCAACCCCAAACTTTTGTACTAAAAAACAAACAAACAAAAAAGTGCAAAACAGGTATGTCATTCTAAATCCAAATGATGCAAAATAGAAAGTAACTCCTAATATTAAATAATCCTCATTTTCATCTCTCCAGGTGAGCGTTTCTTTCCACCCCCATCTGGCCTGAGTTACTCAACGTGGTTTTGCGTTGAGCGTTTCAGCACACCACCCCAAAGCCCCCCTGTGCGTCTGCTCACGGTGGTGCGAAGGGCCACCTCGTCTGAGCAGCACTACGTGTGCCTGGCCATCGTGCTCTCTGCTAAAGACCGGTCTCTCATTGTGTCCACTAAGGAAGAGCTACTTCAGACCTATGGCAAGTGTTTCTACAACTTCCTGTTCTACATCTTTGTTTGCGGTTTATGTCAGCACAGCAGTTTTAATGATGTGGAATGTTTGTGAATCAGATGATCCGTTTCAACCTTTTTGTTCCTCTGTATGCAGATTAAGTGAGCTTGAATTAAAAACAAGTCTATTACAGACCTTCAAAATGCTGTTGTTTGTGAACACACAAAAAAAATTTTGAAAATTATTTTAAATAATTTCAAATTTAATTTAGCCTGTAAATTCACCACGCTCATGTTTCGTGGGCAAACCGACAATAGACTACTAAGCCATTTTAATGTAGGATTTAAGAGGCCGTTCCTTCTGAAATGCAGAGGAAAAGTTCCTTTGTCTGTGGTTAGTGACGTGACATCATTTCCTCTTTCCCTTAGCAGTGGATGACTTCAGTGAGGAGTCCTCCTTCTATGAGATTCTTCCCTGCTGTGCTCGCTTCCGCTGCGCTGACCTCATCACTGAGGGACAGTGGCACCACCTGGTGTTAGTTATGAGCAAGGGAATGCTGAAGAACAGCATGGCGACTCTCTACATCGATGGCCAGATGGTCAGCACGGTCAAGGTGTGGCCCAGCTCCTGATGTAGACAGCTTTATTTTGTTTCAACTAAAGTAATGGGAAACACTGTGCCGTTAGTATTTTTTTTCTGCACAAAGGTCAGATTTTCCTGCCCCATTTGAAGGATTTTAATTTTATATTTCAAACTTTAGCATAGCTCAAAACTGGCATCAGTTCTGAAATCTGATGTGATGTGGTCTTCCGCTTACTTAATTAGCAGTTAAAACACCAGTTCCCAAGGCTACTGTTAAACAATATATATTTGAAATATAAGTCCTTATTGGCCTGCAAACCAATAAAGTCACACTCGCCTCTTTTGTTTCTCATTGTGGTTGTCTTTGTAGCTGCACTATGTTCACAATGCTCCCGGCGGCTCTGCATCCGCAAACCCACCTGTGGTGAGCACGGTGTACAGCTACATCGGTACGCCACCGGCCCAGCGCCAGCTCTCCGCTCTGGTCTGGCGACTGGGGCCCACTCACTTTCTGGAGGAGGTGCTGCCTGCTGCCAGTGTGGCTGCCATCTATGAACTGGGACCCAATTATGTAGGCAGTTTCCAAGCTGTTTACCTGCCATGTGAGTACCTGATGTGTCACACTGAGGTGAATAACACCTAAAAGAAGTTGATGTTTATTGTAAATGAATGGCTATTTTACTGATTTAATGTTTTTTTTTTTTTCTTCCGTGTGTTATATAGAAAAATGCAGGCATTTGCCTCCTGTAGTTGTGGCTTTTAAAACTGGGTTTTCTCTCATATCACCAGGCAAAGACTCAAAGACTGAGGCTGTGCCGCCATGTCCTGTTGCATTGGTCCCTGAAGAGAAGGTCTCCTTTAGTCTCTTTGCTCACTCTGCATCTACTCTCACTGTGGCCAAGTTACGAAAGGTCTACAACAAACTGGACAGCAAAACCATTGCCAAACAGGTAAGCAGTCTCACCCTTTTCCTCTTGCTAAAATAATGTAAAGTTGTCATATTTAATAAACTGAACAACCACCAAATACAGTAATCAGGACCATAAGCAGACCTACACTACCATTCAAAAGTTTGGGGTCAGTAAAAATGTTTTCATGTTTTTGAAAGAAGTCTGTTATGCTCACAAATACTGTATTTATTTGATCAAAAATACAGTAAAACCAGAAATGCTGTCAAATATTAGTTTAAAATAACTGTTTTATATTTTGAAATATTTTAAAGGTTATTTATTCCATTTCCTGTGATGTCAAAGCTGGATTTTCAGCAGCCATTACTCCAGTCTTCAGTGTCACATGATCCTTCAGAAATCATTCTAATGCTGATTTGGTCCTCAAAAAACATTTAATATTATTATTAATGTTGAAAACGGTTGTGTTGCTTAATATGTTTTTGGAAACTGATTCTCTGATGAATAGAAAGTTCAAAGATTGAAGTCTTTTGTAACATTACAAATGCATTTGCTGTCACTTTTGATCAATGTAATGTGACCTTGCTGAATCAAATATTAATTTCTTAACATTAATATCTCAAAAATATGCAGAATTCTTTAGGGTAGAAAGGGTATAATAAAAGGGTGGGCAAGGGGTATAGTTTTGTGAATGATGTGTATTCAAATTCTGTATGAATGAGGACATTCAACTAATGTGAAAATCAGCAGAGCTTTTTGTGGAAATTTGCAGACTTTTCACATACTATCTTCAGGAATTTTTGCGGATTATCTACAGAATTCTAGTGTTGGACACTTTTTGATAGCTGAAAGAAGTAATAAATATTTTGCCAAAATATTACATATAAATAAACATACAAGGGGTGCAGAATGTGTAGAAGAATTATAATTTGGGGAAAGTTGCTCAGAGTGATGTTTTCATTCCCTTTCAGCTGGGGGTTTCCTCTCATGAAAGTGCCACACCAGTCAAGCTCGTCCATAATGCAGTGGGCCATCTCAACGGGTCGGCCAGGACCATTGGAGCTGCAGTCATCGGTTACCTGGGTGAATGCGTGTGCTGTTTTCATTAGGACGATGGAGATCTGTGAAGTTTTTTTGCAGAATAAAAAAAATGAAGTGGCACAGTACAGCTTTTCCAATAAACCAGCCCTTTCTCTCAGTGTTCATGTATTTATAGCTGCAGTCTTGTACCGTGTAGGTGTGCGCGCCTTCGTGACCAAACCAGTGGCCACCAACCTCCAGTACATCGGAGGAGCAGCTGCCATTCTGGGCCTGGTTGCCATGGCGTCAGACGTGGAGGGTCTCTATGCTGCAGTAAAAGCGTTAGTGTGTGTTGTGAAGAGCAACCCGCTAGCTAGCAAGGAGATGGAACGCATCAAAGGATACCAGGTGGGCTGCAATAACAATTACTCAGTGAACTTTGAACCGAGGATGTCCTCTGTTCTCTACTGCTGTAGCTGTAGGATGTTATGAGCCAATGAGGTGGCAAATTAAATGATAACAGTGAGACTGGGCTGTTGTGTCCGGTGACAGCCAACTGATGTGATAAGTGGGGGTTCGTAAGGGTGGAGCATGCTGGGATGTGCTGGTTTGAACATAACAGATGGCCCATTGTTTAATTTCTCTGCTGCTTTAATGGGGTCTGTAGAGAGAATGCGATGTTTCATGGAGCTAATGTCACAGTGTAAGGAAAATTAATGGCTGAGTGTTGGGTTTCAGCCTGTTTTAAATTGAACTGATCGCTGAATCCTGAAATGAGTAGACTAACGAAAATATAGCAGATCATTCTTTCACATAGACCTTCTGTTGTTGCTTTTTCCCCGTCAGCTTTAGATCATTTGCCTGAAAGATCTTCTTTAACTCAATGTCTTCTGTTATAGCTGTTGGCCATGCTGCTGAAGAAGAAGCGCCCTCTGTTGAACAGCCATATTCTTCACTTGACCTTCTCTCTTGTCGGAACTGTCGATAGTGGCCACGAGACCTCAATCATCCCGAACTCCACAGCTTTCCAGGACCTGCTGTGTGATTTTGAGGTGCAAAGCTCACATATAAATACCTCAGACTGACATCATCAGTGACCTTGCTGAAAATTTAACTACAGCCACTATAATAGTTTCTGGCATGAGAACAGTTTTGTAATGTTTTTTTGTAGTGGTCTTCAGTTCTAAAACTTTTTATTTCAGAAGATATAAACACTTGTTTGATTTTCATGATATAATGACTAAAATGTTTAATTATACTTTTTAAAAAAATTATTTGCTGGACTTTCAGGTTTGGCTTCATGCTCCCTATGAGCTGCACCTCTCTCTCTTCGAGCACTTCATTGAACTTCTGACTGAATCCAGGTAATCCATCCATACTCTAACACTCTTTATTGAATCTTTTTTATTCAGGGCAGTCGATTTAAGCCTTCCTGCGATGTAATGGGACTTTCAGTCTTATAGAAGTTTTATAGTGTACAGTAAGCATTAGCGTTATGATGGTTACCCAGCAGCACTTATAGAACAACATATGCATCACATGGTATATGAATTACTTCACATGGATATTTGAGGTCTACTTCCATATGAAGTACATCATACAGAAGAAAAGAGAGGAGAGATCTTATATGTCTTAAGGCACGGTCACATAAAGACAATGATAACTATAACGAAAACTATATCAACATCCACAAACAGACAATAATGTCCTGTTTAATATAAGCACACACAGTGCATGTCATCTGCTGCTTCAAATGTTCAAGCTCTTTAAAGTCAGGTGGATTCTGATTGGTTGTCAACGTTCTTATCATTCAACATCTGAAAAAATAATCTGGAGTGATTCCAACGATATTGTTCCTCTGTCGTTAGCATTATAGTTGTAATATGGACTCCGATATTCTCTTTAATTTATTAACTTTATTGTTATCGTCCTTGGTTTGAGTGGGCCTTTAGAGTGAACAATGTTCCTAAACTCCAGAGGTGCAGAGTCAGACCTGCAGATATTAAACTGCTGTTACTAACACAGTGTGTAATTGTTTCTATTTTCAGTGAAGCTGCTAAGAATGCCAAACTGTTGCGGGAGTTTCAGTTGATCCCCAAACTGCTGCTGACTCTGAGGGATCAGTCTCTGTCTCAGCCCACCATCGCTGCCATCGGCAATGTCCTCAGTCTCCTGCTTCAAGGCTTCCCCAACTCATATGACCTACTAAGGTAAACATAGAGATGTATGCCCATTTTAAATGTATGCTCAGACAACAAATTTAAATAGATTGAAATCAGAAGTGACAGATTCTTTCAAATTTGTCTTATTTTGCTGCAGAATATAGTTTATTTAGAAGCAGAGGCGACTCATTTTTTTTTTTTGAGAGAGAATTATTTTAATAATTAGTAAGGGACACTATGTACAATTTACACATAAAAAATAACATTTTTAATTCTCAAAATAATATCACTAAATAATCATTTATAATTCTGAAAAAAAAAAAAATCCATTTGTTTATGGATTTGATTTTTTTTTTTTCTTCAAGGTTTGGGCAGTTCATCTCTTCAACATTGCCAACATTTGCAGTCTGTGAGAAGTTTGTCATTATGGAGAACACCAATGAGGAGAAGATCGACCGGGGTGAGTCATGTTTTTAAGCTTCCAAGTATCAAAGAAGCATTTTAGCTCCATATTGTTGTAACACGACAACACTTCAAATCGCCCTATTAACGAATCAGATCCATGGGAATCAAAGCATTGCCAGCTTTAAGCAACCCCAAAAGAAATCCACACCTGCAGAATTCTGTAGAAAGTTACACAGAATTCCTGCTGAATTGGAACGCTATGTGATTAATAAAAATCTGACACCCCTTGTCCATTTCTGAAATATTTTGCCTAATTTGGTGGTTTCAGCTATCAATAAGAGTGCAGAGTAAGCTTCATGTAAATAATTTCTGTAGATTCCAGCTAAAATCAGCACTGGAAAATCTGCAGATTTCATCTAGGCCTAATTATGAGATATCTTAAGATACCAGGAGCTTAAAATTAGTCAAACGGGTTAGCAGTATAATTTCTCCTTTCAGTGGTCTTACTCTTCTTCCTGGGTGTTTTCAGGAGCTGATGATGAGTTTGGAGGCCTCTTGTCATCCAACTTGATTCTTCTGCGGAACAGACTACTGGATATCCTGCTCAAACTGCTCTTCAGCTGCAAAGAGAAGAACATTGTTAATGCACAGTGAGCCTTATTAAATCAAGGGTGGATTATTAGACTTCCGAGAGCTGCGCTGCATTTTACAGCATCTGTAACATTGTTACCTAAGCTTGCTGGTTTAGGGCTGTTATCTGGGATTGGATACAGATGGAACTAGACACTTTGGATATGTGCAGCCCAAGTGCTTTTATCTATTATCAGTGCACTCAGTATTTTATTTATTTATTTTTGTGTATATGAAAAATGTCAAAGTGCACCATTTAATTGTCTGTAAATAAAGCCTCATAACGTAAAACATTATAAACCAAATTTATAAGATTTACTTTTATATTAATCACCCCACCACTAAATTTTTCTTTCTGCTAATTCCCGCAGGGCTTGTGAAGAGCTTGTGCGCACTTTGGGTTTTGATTGGTTGCTGATGTTTATGGAAGAACACATTCACTCCAGCACAGTGACGGCTGCTCTCTTAATCTTGGTGGTGTTGATGAGTAACCAATCCATCCTGAGCCGGTTTAAAGAGGGCCTGTCGGGAGGAGGCTGGCTGGACCACACAGACTCTGTGCTCACTAATAAGATTGGCACTGTTCTGGGTGAACATGCTTTTTAAGTTAAAAAGGAACTATAATTATACAGTATAACAATATAATAATAATAATAATAACTAGTATTGTAAAATTTAGTATTGTAAAATGATTTGTGGGGCTTTTATTTTTTATTTTTTGCTTGTACCTCCTTTCAGGTTTTAATGTGGGCCGCAGCGCAGGGGGCAGGTCAACGGTGCGTGAAATCAACCGAGATGCCTGCCATTTCCCAGGATTCCCTGTGTTGCAAACTCTACTGCCCAAACACACCAACGTTCCAGAGATCTACTTCATGCTCATGGCCCTTTTCCTCCAGCAACCAATCACAGAGCTGCCTGACAGCCTGCAGGTACATGTCAGTATGCAAACCTTTTTTCCCTACTAATCAAACTTGAATGTCTTCACTGTGTCTTTGTTTGTATGTGTGATCTCACAATCCATATCATGCTCCACATCTCTGAGACACTATTGAAAATACTTCACATGCTCAGTTTCACCAATTTGCTTATATTATTAGTGACCTAGAAATAGTGCAGAATCTAAATCCATTTTACATCATATTCTTTCTTTCTTTCTTTCTTTCTTTCTTTCTTTTTCTTTCTTTCTTTCTTTCTTTTGTTTTTTGTTTTTAAATCCTAAAACTTTGATTACAATTTTAAATAGGATTTGAAATCCCACATTTTCAATGTGATCTCAAAACTTGTTTTTTAAGGTGACATACTCCATGTTAACTATAATACTGTTCAAAAAAATTTCTTTGCTGTATCATCCATTCATTCATGCATGCTTTATATAAATGTTTACCATCTGCCCTTGTGACTGTTTCCTGTGAGAGCATTAAAGTGTCACTCTTTTACTTTTTATACCATTAAAAGGCATTCTTTTACTTTTTAAACCACACAATTATTGTTGAATAATTTGTTAATATTATGATTTAATTAGATTTCATAATAACTTAATGCAGTTTAATAAATTGTATAATATACATTTAATAATAATAATAATTAATGAATTATTATTGAGTTGTACCCATCTCCTCACACAGTTTGACCTGGACTCTATCTGGACGTTTATATTTGGCGTCCCAGCCTCCAGTGCTACAGTGGTGGGCTCCATTCACAACATGTGCACTGAAGCAGCGTTCCTGCTCCTGGCCATGCTGCGCAGCATGCTCAACCTGGTGAGTCTCCAAGCCACCATGCCTCAGAAATATGTGTCCCAGGAGCATCTGCTGGCATTGGGATGATTGTTGTCATTTGGTAGTTTATCAAAGCTTTTATACTATCAGCTGATGAAGAATTCGAAATGAAATGGCAAATTAGTGACAAACTGGTGCTCAAAGTGAAAAATAAAAGATTAAAATGGTATTATGTTAAGATGAATTGTTTTCACTGCAGAGACCAAGAAATACAGGTTATTCTTGTGACCGCAGGCCCTTTAAATAAGCTCACAGCACAAGCTGACATAGCTTTTGATATTTCTCTTTATCTAACCTGCAGCCTTGGCAATCAGAGGAAGAGGGTTCCTGGCTGAGAGAATATCCCATCACTCTCATGCAGTTTTTCCGTTACCTCTATCACAACATCCCAGATCTGGCACCCATGTGGCACAGCCCGGACTTCCTGTGTACACTTGCTGCTACAGTTTTCCCCTTCAATATACGGCCCTACTCTGAAATGGTATGCTATTGTTCTCTTTGTTTGTTATTGTAACTGGCTTTTGGGTGCTCAGGCCTTTGAGAATTTGTCCTTTTGATGTTCAAGTCGCAGTTGGTTGTGTAGATGAAAAATGTCTTGTTTTCCTTAAGGTGAGTGATTTGGATGATGAAGCAAGCTCTCCCACAGAAGAGTTCAAAGCCTTTGTGACGGATACAGGCATGAACCGCAGCCAGTCAGAATACTGTAATGTAGGCAATAAAACCTACCTGACCAACCACCCAGCCAAGAAGTACGTCTTTGACTTCATGAGGGTCCTCATCATGGACAACCTGTGCATGACACCTGCCAGCAAACAGACCCCCATCATTGATCTTCTGCTAGAGGTGAGATCATTTCAGAAATCTACTCGAAATGAACATTTCATTTTGTTGCCAGTGATGTTACCTGAAGCTACAGAATTTCTGTAATGCGTGTCGTTCTAGCTTTCTTTTCTATCGTCCTGCAGCGCTTTGCATGCTGCTAATTAGAAGCTAATGTGGGAGTGTCCATCTGTTGGGCAGAAACACTAACTTTGCTCTGTGTATTTAGGCCGCACCAGAGCGCTCCACCAGAACCCAGCAGAAGGAGTTTCAGTCCTACATCCTGGACAGTGTGATGGAGCAGCTTCTGGCAGCAGATGTTCTGTTGGGTTAGTTGCATCCCAATCATCAGGTTTAGTTCAGGGAAATGCTTTGGTACAGTGCTTTAGCCAAAAATGAAAATGCTGTCATTTACCCCCACCCCTCATTTTGTTCCAAATTGTGTGGTTTTTGATGTCAATGTAGAGTCACAATATATGTAAAAAGTCAAGTCAAGTTTATTTCTACAGCGCTTTTCACGATACAAATCATTGCAAAGCAACTTTACAGCAAATTAATTTTCTACAATATTTAGTGGTAGCTTATCAGTGGTGACTGTCAATTAATGTACATATGGCAGAAATGTACGGAAAAATCAATTTAAGACGTAATAAAAAAGACGATGAACACTATTAACAGCAATTATTACATGATGCAATCAAACTTATAGCAAAATATGGTAGTTCTGTATGTTGTTTCAGGGTTGGCAACATCTGTATTTATAAATGGTGCTAACATCATCGTTATTAATAGTGAATAAATCTAAAGCTTTTGAGACTATTATTTTGTGTTATTTCATTTGTCATTAAGGGAGGGAGGGGGGGGTCTTGAAAAAGTCTGTGCACAGCCCTGGTAAAAACTGTCATGGCATGGTGAGACATGTCTTGACTGACCATATTTTAGTGTTTCTCAGTGTTTCTGAAGTTCCCTGATGTCCCTTAAAGTTCATTGTTCATCCAACAAAATATTTAAATCATCCTCACACAATATCAGCTAAAAATTGCAAATCTTTCATGTGTGTGTCTCTGTCCTCCAACAGGTGAGGAGGCATCATTGCCAATAACGACAGGAGGAAGTTACCAGATCCTGGTCAACAATGTTTTCTACTTCACCCAGCGTGTGGTGGATAAGCTGTGGCAGGGCATGTTCAACAAAGAGTCCAAGCTTGTGGTGGAATTCATAGTTCAGCTGATCACCCAGGTGAGCTCTATCCTGTGATCGCACACTGGAGGTTCCCCACTTAACTTCCAATTGTACACAATGTCATAATGTCCCTAAAGACTAAGGAAATTGTCTTGCTATATAGTTATTTGTAAGCTTGGCATTGAAAATGGTCTATATGTGACCAAAACGTTTGCCTTGCTCTTCTCAGTAAACTTTCATCTCGCATATGATTTTTGGTGGAGTGTGTGACTTTTTTCAAGTATTTTATATAATTTTTTGGACATATATTGTCTACTTTGTCATTTTAATTATGAACATTGCTTACAAATGAGTACTTTTAGTGGATGTCTTAAATTTATGCTACTGTTATATACATTTACATACATTAAATTGATCTAAAGTGACTATAAAGACATTTATAATGTTACAAAATATATCTATTTCAAATAAATTATTTAAAACTTTCTGTTCATCAAAGAACCCTAGAAAAAAAAAAACCTTAGAGTTTCCACAAAAAGCAGTGCAACTGTTCAACATTTATAATAATAAAAATGTTTCAGCACCAAATCAGTATATTAGAATGATTTCTGAAGGATCATGTGACACTGAAGACTGAAGTAATGACTGCAGAAAATTCAGCTTTACCATCACAGGAATAAATTACATTTAAATGACAAAATCTATTATTTGAAATTGTAATAATATTTCACAGTTTTACTGTTTTTGCTATATTTTTGATCAAATAAATGCAGCCTTGGTAAGCATAAGAGACTTCTTTCAAGAACATTAAAAATACTTACCCCAAGCTTTTGAACAGTAGTGAAAATGTAAGCAAACAGAATGTTAAAAATTAAAATGCAATTAAAAGCAAATGATAATAAGCAATCACCGCAACCACAGTTATCTTTTTAAGATGAGAACGGAACAAACATTTCAAAAATTTCACAGTAAGTGTTTCACTAAATATTGCAAAAATGTATTAGCTACCAAACATTTAAAAAAGACCACAAGGACCCACAATTTGATTTAAAGTCATAACTTGAATTATTAAACATAATATTATCCTTTTATTATATTACAACTTTCTGTTAGATGTACAATTCTTTCTCTCTCCCTTTCTTATTTCTTATGACGTATGTAGCATTCCTATGTAACTTACATGACTGGTGGTTTCTCAACAAATCTCCTTTTCTTTTTCTTTTTTTTCTTTTTTTGGTCCTACAATAGTCCAAACGGCGATCACAGGGTTTGTCTCTGGACTCAATCTACCATTGTCTGAACCGAACAATCCTCTACCAGCTCTCACGACCACACAAAACGGTCCCACAACAGGTCACCCTGCTGGATTCACTGCGTGTGCTGACAGTAAACCGAAACCTCGTGCTGGGACCCGGCAACCATGACCAGGAGTTTGTGGCTTGTCTGGCCCACTGCTTGATCAACCTGCACACGGGGAGGTGAGAGAGAGACACAGAGGCCGTGTAATGTTTTCAGGCACTTTACATGAATTCAAGGGTTTATTTTAATTTAGAGCTTATAGATGTTTGGTTTTATTGCAGAAGTATTATGTTAGAGGTATGGATAGGTAAGTCTTTTTTCCATTTGACATGCAGAGACTCTGATTCAAAGAGACTGGTTAAAAAAAATAATAATTAGATTAAAGGTAAGTTGGTAGACATTACATGTGAGGTGTGAAATTAATAAATAGGTAAATACATAAATACATTTAGATAGATAGGTAGACATATTTGAAGTGTGCAATAAATTTACATGGAAATTACTGAAATAAATGAACTTTTCCACGACATTCTAATTTATTGAGATGCACCTGTATATGAGCAGTAAAAAAATAAAAACAAAAATTTAGATGGAAAAGATAGATGGGGATGGGTTTATGGGATTATTTATGAGCAGTGAAAAATGAATAATTCCTATTCTTAGGATTGTTTGTGATTGTGCGCCTCTGCTGTTGTGAATCACTGTGAGAGACTTGAGGGGGAGGTTTACGTTGTCATGGCTCTGTATCCAGGCTGACTCAGAAGTTTGGCTTCAGAGAGACTGAGAAATGAGGCTGCTGAGTCTCTGCTCTGCTGATGCAGGAAGATCAATAACTTCAACTGATTTTATTTGGAGCATCTGATGTGCTGAAATCATAGTTCATTATTCTTGCTGTTTGTGTTCTAGCATTCAAACGTATATTATTGACTGACTGGGGAATGTTCACATGATGCAGCACTGATAAAGCACTGGCCAAAATGCCTTTGGGTCTTCAAATGTATGAGAATCGTGTGCTGTATCGCTGTGCCAACATCACTTTCATGTTCTCTTACAGTAGTGTGGAGGGCTTTGGTTTGGAGGCAGAGGCCAGAATGACCACCTGGCATGTCGCGGTTCCTTCTGAGAACGAGTCGGACAATGTCCAGAGCCAGGATGTTAGCGAAGGTTGTTCTTTTTCTCTTTTAATGGCATTTTTGGAAACAAAGTGTGTGGTGTATTAAAGCATAGAGTTTTAATACTTCAAGCACTTCACAAACCCTCATAAAAACCATTATTGATATCAAACAGTCTGTCCTTTTTGTTTGGTGTGTGTGTGTGTGTGTGTTTGTCAGGTCGTCAATTGCTGCTCAAGGCGGTGAATCGCGTGTGGACGGAACTCATGCACAGTAAGCGGCAAATGCTGGAGGACATTTTTAAAGTGTCTCTACCCGTCAATGACCGAGGACATGTGGACATTGCCACTGCTCGACCTGCTTTAGAGGAACCTGCTGCTAAAAGCTGGCAGAACCACCTGGGTGAGGAAAACTTCTAGTCAGACACACTCAAATTTTCACTTTATTACTCCATCACATTCAGATTCTCCCACATAGTTGAATTTTTGCAGCTTTCCTGTGACTGTCTTTGTTTTCTTCTGCTTATTTTTTTCTTGTTAAAGATTTTTGCTGTTTTCCCCATACTCTCGTTTCTCTTACTGTGTTAAACCTTCTCTGTTTTCCTTCTAGTCCATGAGAAGAAATGCATCAGCAGGGGCGAGACCGTTGCCCCAGCGAATCAGTCCAAACTGTCTCGAGTCAGCAGTAACTTTGGTCTGTCCAAACTGACCGGCTCCCGTCGCAGCAAAAAGGAAAGTGGAATGAACAAGAACAATCTTTCTGCACAGGTAACTGACAAAAGAACTGACGCAGACATGGAAATGGTTTCACAGCTAACCTTATGGACTTGCACAGACAGTTTGCCCTCACATTGTTTTGAATGTCCACAGGAAACCTTTCAGTGGATGTTCACGCACATTGCTGTGGTCCGAGACTTGGTAGCAATGCAGTACAAGGAACATCAAGAGGTAGTAACCTTTCAATTTCAAGCATATACAAAAGTCAAATAGATCTTTCAGAACAATAATAATTTGAGAAATGCTTTAAATGGAGGGGTCACTAAATAAATGTTTTCCCAGTTCTGATCGTAGTGGTATGACTTCTACAAAAAAAGATTTTTTGATACAAAAATGCATTTGTTTTCTCACAGAGGCAGCAGAATGCACTGAAGTATGTGATGGATGAGTGGGCAGGGATTGAATATGAGCTGCTTCGGGAAAGGGGCCTCTGGGGGCCTCCTATTGGCTCCCACCTGGACAAGTTTCAGTTGGACATGACCGAGGGACCCTGTAGAATGAGGAAGAAGATGGTTCGGAATGACATGTTTTACATTCATTATCCCTACGTGCCTGATCCTGAGCCCAACGCAAGCACTCAGGTTAGTGGAGCTCCTTCTACCCTTTCTTTTTTCAGTTTTAAGGAGGTACATGTTGTGTATTGTATATTAGCTAATTCTGGCTCCCTGAAATAGAAAATAAACTTATATAATTGGCTTTAAACTTATTTTACCCCATTAACTGAAACAAGTCTATTGAATTTGCCTATAGTGTCAGTGAAAGTCAGCATGTGTATAGCACTAATGGTTGATAATCTGCTCTAAATTGATCTTTTGTGAACTCTCAAACTTCAATTGCCAGCATTAGCCATATGATGGTAATGACTGCACAAAAGAAGCCTTAAATGCGAACACAAGCTTTCATATGCTCCTCTTGCCTTATTGCCCATTTTTCCCTTTTCAGAATCAATCTCAGGTGCCATTAATGGGTGCAGTGGTTAACATACCAGTCCAGGTACAAACTGGAGTGTTCCTAAGCTACAGTCTTGCTGTACCCTCTCAAACAGCTGCATTGCTGAAAGCTTAACTGTAAAATAAAATGTCCCAGACCTTCTGCATTTGTCTGTCACATGATAAGGAGGTGTATGTGGATTGACACCTCCGCAGAACGCTTAAATCGCTGTTTGGAGATGTATTCTCTGCTGTCATTCCTGTTGTAAATATTTCATACACAGAGAAACCTCTAGAAAAATAGGTTCAGGACAGCTCCTTCCCTCCCATGTTTGCTAATCCCTTATAATCCATATTATAGTATGTGAAGTGGAGCAATTTTCAAACAACAATGTTGCATGTTACTGTTACAACTCACTAATAATAATTGGTATTCATGTTGTAATGTAAGAGCTGAATTAAGTAAATTCTGCACCACTACTGACACCAAACAGAACTGCAAAAATAAAGACTGTTTCAAAGACTTCACACATCTTCCATTGTTCATCAAACAGATACTGAAGCCCCACCCTAAACTCTCTCCATTGGTTGAGCCAGTCTCATTACATCTGGCCCAGTCGGGCCACTCAAAAAAACAGATTACAGTTCTATACATTTATACATTTCACCTTTAATTACAGTTTCCTAGATTTGTATGTAGATATTTTAATAGGAATTTGATAAACAGCATGACCATGCAGATTGTTTTTCTCTCCAAAATCAATATTTTGAATTTGCATACAGTTCCAGTTAGGGCTGTCGCGATAACCGCAATATTGCAATACCGCGCTATTGACGAGCAAACCGCAGAGGGACGCAAGAACCGCAGAAACCGCGAATTTTTGCGTGTTTTCTTTTTTCATAGGGTTTTGCCCCTCTCGTTTTACACTGTGTACTGAATATTAAATAAGTTAGTAATGATAACATAATGTGTGCCATGCTGATTTGTACTGAGACTCCATAGATTTGCACTTAACAAGCCTAAACAGAACAACGAATGAGAGAGAGATCAACTGAGCATGTGCGATTACTTGCGAGTCATATATATTTGTGAAAATGGGTAGTCATGTCCAAGGAAAGCCAAATCTCTGTCTTAGCATCAACGCGTTGGTCAGCTGAGCCTTCTAACGTGCTCAAAGTTAAAATGATTTCAACAGCGTCTCTTTGAATGAATGAATCAGCGTTTTTGAACGTGTAGTTGAATGAACGGTTTAAAGACTCACTCAAAGACAGTTTATGTTCTGTTATGTGGACCGTTATTTTGTCATTCTCTTCTGTTTACTTCACTTCCTGTTTCAACGCTATTTGGTTTCGGTTTCATTGGTTTCTGAATATGACCTCGTTGGATCGTAACACATACACACACAGATTATATATATGGTGATAATACCGCATACCGCGCTATTGAGCCACTCAAAATTACCGCAAGGGAAATTCCTTCACCGCGACAGCCCTCGTTCCAGTTAAAATGTTAGGACGCATGACTGAATTCATGTGTGATCTTGAAAACTTGCTGATCTAAAGGTGTTTAAATGCTTGAAATTTGCTTTGTGGGTAAATATAAATTGGGTTTAGATATGAATTATGTACTATATGCGAGTTGTCAGCATGGGATTTTCTTAAGGAGTGATGGACACGTGTCTTGCATGCCTCTGACTGGATTCTTCTGGCTGTCACTGACTTCCGAGATTGAATTTTTTATTATAAAGTTTTTCATCATGATTGATATAAACCCAAAAGAAGAGTTAATAAGAACTAAATTAAAGAGTTTGTGACACATTTCAATCCTTCCAGAAACCAGTGCGCTACAGACGAGCGATAAGCTATGACAGTAAGGAGTATTACATGCGGCTGCTGTCAGGGAACCCGGGGATGTACCAGCACTCCATAGAGCAGAACACGGAGGGAGAGACCACACAGCAGGAGCCTGAACATGGAGAGGACACCATCGCAAGGGTCAAAGGTCATTTTAACATGACAGTGCTCTTTATTACATGATACTGTGAAACTACTACAGAAGTATACTTTGTACAGTGAGCTTTACAGTTACACGTACTACATTTTGCTCACCAATGTAGCAGACAGAAAACAAGTACCATTATTAATACAATTATTAATTACTTGTAACTAGAAATTCTATCACCTCTTCAAACTAAATGGAAGAAACTGGCATCTGAAGGATCTCATTGTCTATCTATTGAAACTACTGAGCATGTAATATAATGAGTGTATTGTATAGATTAACTGAGTGTGCTGTGTTTTGTTTTAGGTTTGGTTAAAGCTCCTTTAAAGCGGTCCCGCTCTACAGCGGATGGAGCTGATGAGGACAGTCAAGACCAGCTGCAGGAGTTGCTGGAGTCAGGAGCTATGGACGAGGAGCAGAAAACTGACAACACCACACTGCTCCGCCTGCTGGAGGAGGGGGAGAAGGTCTGTAGCACTGTACAGCTATACATCTGCCTCCACAACATCCTCGTCACACTGTTCAACAACTGCAAATTTTGCTGCCAGTCACTGTTGTCATGACAACAATTTGGCTTTGAAAGTTTGGGTCTTTTGGGTAGAAGCTTTCCAATTTGACGCTTTGAATTGATCATTAGATCATCATCTAACAACAGTCATTCATTTACTGCTTACATTATTCTCCATCAGTATGAGGGGAATAATCAGTAATATCAGTCTGGTTGGACGATTAGGTTTGTTTTACGTTTTGAATTTGCACTGATTGATATGAATGATGTACTGAGAATGTGTTTGCTGTGTGTGTTATAGATCCAGCACATGTACCGCTGTGCTCGAGTTCAGGGTCTGGACACCAGTGAAGGGCTGCTCTTATTCGGGAAAGAACATTTCTATGTGATCGACGGCTTCACCATGACGGTCACCAGAGAGATTAGAGACATTGAGACACTCCCTGCAAAGTAAGAATGTATTTTGTATTTTGTATTTTGCCCTTCAAAAAATGAAAAATGCTCACTTGTATCAGATCATCTGGTATCTGTCTGTCTGTCTGTCTCTGTTGTTTGTTCTGTTATTCTATTGTTCTCCATCTATTTATCAGTCATACGTTCTACCTATCATTATAGTGGTCTGTCTTTCTACCGTTTCTTTGTTTGATCTGTCTATCGTTCTATTGTTCTATCGTTCATTTTATCGATCTTTCTGTTGTTTTAATTATCTGTCATTCCATTGTTCTTTCTGTTTTTCTATTTCTGTTATAATTATAACAAAGCTGCTTGTGTTATAACTTTTTTTTATTAAAAGAAACTGGAAGCATTGATATTTTACATTAACCTACAGTTCATTGTGTGATTCTATTCTGTGGTTATTTTAGATTATTTTAATATATTAATTATCATAAATATATTAAGTAATTCTGTGGAACTTTGCTGAGGCCCCCCGGGTTGAGAACCACTGCTTTAGTTGTTGCACTGCATTTATATATACTGCTTGTTTTTGTGACATTTGCAGTATGCATGAGCCTATCATCCCCCGAGGGGCTCGGCAGAGCAAGAGTCAGCTGAAACGAACCTGCAGCATCTTTGCTTACGAAGACATCAGAGAGGTGCACAAACGTCGCTATCTGCTTCAGGTGTGCAAACAACCCGTTTGGCTTGATAACACACTGGGTAGCTTTCATGTTAATGCTGATAATGAAGCTATGCTTTGCTTTCTTCCTCACAGCCCATGGCAGTAGAAGTGTTTTCTGGAGATGGAAGAAATTATCTGTTGGCTTTCCAAAAAGGAGTCCGGAACAAAGTGTATCAAAGGTATTGTAAACACTGATGCCTCTTGGTGTTGGGCAATATGCTTCATAGTCATATCGTCCTATCATCAGCCTGTGAGATCACCGATACACGATATTGTCATGCTAGTTTATTTAATCATTTACTTGCTTAGTTTCATAGTTTCATAACCAACTCCAGGATAAGCCTAAAATCAACCTAATGTTAGTGTAATGCATCAACTACATATAATATTTTTCCAGTCAAGTTGCATATAGATGTCATGTCATAAAATATTTTTTAATATTACTGAATTTGTGTGTAACGTAACAATTTAATAAAAACATTGTAAGTTACTAATTATAATGCTTACATTTCCTCCGTTATTCAAACAGCAGCTACAGAAAATGAGCAAAGAACATTTACATCATCAAAGACCATCATCACTGACTTCCTGACTTCTAGAGCGAGTTAATGCACTTTTAAAAAAAAAACACTCCCATTATAATCAGTCAAGCTATACTATATCTTTTATACTTATATCGCACATACATCAGCATTTTTTTTTTTTGATGTGGGAATCTGCGAGAGAGCAGAATTCAGTCATCGAGTGCGAGCACTGAACAACGAAACTCAGTGTTTCAGCGATGACTCATCTGAATGCTTCTGATTGGCCTTTGCATTTATGAGCTCAACAGAATCGTGTGTGATTGGTTATAACGCGCAACACTGTAAAAAACGCGTAAAAAGAAATATGATGTGACAAATAAGCCCTAATATTAATTAGATAATAATACTATCCTGATAATAATAATGATAATAATAATAATAATTATTATTATTATTATTATCATCTTGATATCGTCAAAGGCATCAGCCACAGGCGATATCTCTAACTATCATTGATACATGATACTATCATCTATTGGCACAACCCTAATGCCTCTTTAAGGCGGCATCCCACTAGTCAGCTCAAAACAGCTCTATTTTGGTTGTAAATCCCACACTTTCTGACAAATTTAGATGAAATCTTGCCCTCTTCTGTCAGATGTTGTCACACTCAGAAATTAAGAATGGAAAGGGTCAACAAACTAAATGACTTCCTCTGACATTTCTCTCAGATTACACTCATAATGTGTGTACAGTCATACACTGCAGCTCCCCATTTTGGCGGCTAATCATTGTGAAATTTGACAATATTAGAGCAGGTGTACCGCATATTCATACACGACTGTAATAGACTGCATTAAGATGCAGCTCATGGAGTGATTTTACCCAGTATATGTGTTTGATTGTGTTTTTGTCCCTTTGAGACATGATGTAGAAAAAGAAAGAAATGCGCTACCATTCAAAAGTTTGGGGTCGCTATGATTTTTATTTTATTTTTTTTACTCTTTTTAAAAAACGTCTCATGCTTATTGAGGCTACATTTTATTAAAATACTGTAAAAACTGTAACACTGTGAAATATTTTTACAATTTAAAAACTTTTTTTTCCAGTTTTAATATAATTTTAATGTAATTTATTCCTGTGATGGCAAAGCTGAATTTGCATCAGCCTTTACTTCAGTCTTCAGTGTCACATGATTCTTCAGAAATCATTCTAAAATGCTGAGATTCTAATCAAGCTCAAGAAACATTATCACTGATGAAAACAGTTGACTGCTGAATATTTTTATGGAAACAGTGAACACTTTTTCAGTGAACACTCTTTGATGAATAGAAAGTTCTAAAGAGCAACATTTAATAACTAAACATCTTTTGTAACATTATAAATGTCTTTACTGTCACTTTTGATCAACTTAAAGGGATGGTTCACCCAAAAACAAAAATTCTGTCATCATTTACTCTCCCTCATGTCATTCTAAACCTGCATCTCTCTCTCCAACGCACATTAAATCTTCCCCATCTGTGGATGCTTTTAAGTCTATCTTTTTATCGTATCTTTTTAGTGTAGCTTTTAAAATTGATTAGAGTGATCAGGATTTAATTTTTAATTTTAATTTTTGTTTGTGTGATGGTATGTAATGATGCTGGAAAGCACTTTGGTCCACGGCAGTTGTTTTAAATGTGCTATAGAAATAAAATTTGTATTGTATTGCATGAGTTTCTTTCTTCTGTTGAGCACAACAGATTCGTCATATTATCTTATTTTGTGTTCAACAGAAGAAAGAAACTCATACAGGTTTAGAATGACATGAGGGAGAGTAAATGATGACAGAATTTTCACTTTTGGGTGAACTATCCCTTTAATGTATTCTTGCTGAAATGTATTCCTTTCAAAAAAATCAATCAATCATACTGACCCCAAACTTTTCGAATGTAAGTGTATTTCAGCAAAACTTTCAATAGTCTGACTGTTCTGCCTCCATTATCTTTTTTACAGTGATTTAAGTGTAGAAGAACCTCAGAAAAATACTAGTTTACATAAAGCCAAATCTTGTTTTCTAGGTTCCTGGCAGTTGTTCCCTCACTAGCCGACAGCTCCGAATCTGTCTCTGGGCAACGTCCCAACACCAGTGTGGAACAAGGGTATGCTACCCTCATATTACAAGATTATGAAGTGACTTTAGAGTTTCTTTACCAAATGTATTAAAATAAACGGTCATATTCGTGTTTCTTGGTAAACAGGTCAGGTCTTCTCAGTACGCTGGTCGGCGAGAAGTCAGTGACCCAAAGATGGGAGGTGCGGTATCTTCACATTTAAAGTTTTTGTCTGTTTGTTTTGTTCTGTTGTTCAGTGTTGCTTAGGAAAGACTCTTTATTTGTAGAGAGGAGAAATCAGTAATTTCCAATATCTGATGCATCTCAACACACTGGCTGGCAGGTCATATAATGACCTGATGCAGTATCCTGTCTTTCCATGGATCCTGGCAGACTTTGACTCTGAGGTACAAACCTGTCTTTGATCATTCCTTGTGACAAGTACTACAGCACAGCAGATGTCCCAGGGCTCCAGACTCCTTCTTCCCACTGGTCGCTCTTTTGCAACTAACTTTCTCAGCTGGTCGCACGAGCACATGATTTGGTCGCAATTATTTTTTTTTTGCGCTACAACATGGGATTATTCAATGCATGCTGATGGACTTTTATCATAGTTTATAGTTATATGGAAACGAAAGTGGTTAACATTCAACCCGTTCTTTATCATCAGTAGTATTATTTGTGATTTGAATTTTGTGAATGGGAGTTTCTCTTTTGCTGTGTTAAGCCGCCGGCTTCGGATGCTTTCACTTTCGAATTCGCGATGCTTACATACATCTACACACCTTTCATTTTTTTAAGACCAAAACAAAAGAGAGCCTCCATAGCGTAATGTGAGGTAAACAGCAAAGATAACAAATTTTTCAAAAATGAAAACAAAAAGAAAAGTAAAAAACTAACGGTGACAGTGCTTGCATGTTTTTTTTCCCCCACAAGAATACCAGCATGTTCACCTTCTCTGGTTTAAGAAGCGGTCTTTTACTTGAATTTCACTTGAAAACCATCCATCGTTTACTCAATATGCACGTCATTTTTGCTGCGTGCACCTTCGCGCTCGTGCTGACGCGGCGAGTATACTCTCTAAAAGCGCTATTTCGTTATGCTTTCC